TTGATGTTTGGGGGAAAACCAAACCTCTGTGAATGGACTCTCTTCTGTCAATAGGAAAGGCTTTCATATCTCTGATGTAAACTGACAGCCTGCGTGCATAGTTGGTGTGATCAAGAGCAAAGAACCAAGGGACAAGTTGTTCCATTACCTGGATGTACAGAGACATGTTCTTTCGCGATGGGACCTCACACAGATTGGTATCGTTGTCTCGAGATGAAGAATCAAATCTCAGTATTTGAATGTTGGAATGGGACATGAGACGCTGAAATGAAAGATTCAGCTGTTCCACTTGGGCAATACCCGCTTCTGTTGGTGCTGAAGTCCATCCAGAATCTTCAAACAAGTCTCCAACCATTTTCCATAAGGCTATTTCAATGTGAAGACCTCCAAGCTTGATAGAGTACACAACTTCACCAAACACATTAGGCCATCTCCACTGAACATATTTTGCTAGCGCAAAATGTGGTTGGGGTATATCCATGACTGGGAGTTGTCCTGGATTGCAATTTTCTGTGACTGTCTTGATAATAGACATACCATGCCTAACCATGGCAAGACTTGCGGCTTTGTCCTTAAAGAAGAGGAAGAAGAGAACTTATTCCTGCTGCAACCTGTTCCTGGGATTGACGAGAAGCATGAAATGCACCAGGCAACTCAACCTTTTCCAAATGTTCTTCAGCAAGAAGTCCAATGCAGTGCTTGATCCAAGATTCTTCTTAGCTTTGGTGATCTTGTCTTCGACTTGATGATGAGTTATAGGCACATTAACTCTCTCCACATTGCAGGCTACTGCAGGAACTATACAACTGCCTGGAAGTGTAGGTTTGGAAGAGCTTGAAATAGTGTCTATAGAAATAGGTTTTCGCTGGTACCATTATCAACAACATTATCAAATGTGGCTGCAAGTCTCAACCTCTATGCTCAAAGAAGTGCATTTGTAAATCTTCTCAACTTCTGTGCACATCGCTCTGTAACTTCAATGGGAACTGTTAAAGGAGACTTCAGAATCACAGAGATCGATGTTTGACAAATTGGTGTCACGTGACTGATCAAAATAGTAACTTTTTCATTACTTGGATGATGAATTATATATTTTACTACTACACATAAATCTTGTTTGTTATATTTATTGAAAGTATTAGAATAGCCCTTTGAACGGCGAATATATCTCACATATTGCAACAAATGAATATTTTTTAATAGTCGACGACCATTCTGGGTGGGCTTCAGCACTCTTTGATTTTTGGCGGCCATCTTGGATTTTGGGGAAAATAGGCCCAAACATTCGAGCACACCCCAAAAATATGCTTTATCACGATGTTCCCTAGCACTGTGCAAGGTCTTCTGCTTCAATCCTGCGGGGTAAAGTCACAATAGTGTTAGAATTGGAAATCCTTGCTTTTAGGAGGCCATCTTGGACGCCATCTTGGATTTTTCGGAAAATTGGCCCATAAAACCGGGCACACCCAAACAATATGTTTTATCATTACGTTCCCAAGCATTGTGCAAGGTTTTCTGCTATAATCCAGCGGGGGAAAAGTCATATAGTGTTAAAATTGGAAATCCATGAGTTTTGGCGGCCATCTTGGACGCCATCTTGAATTTTTCGGAAAGTGGCCCCCAAAAATCGGGCACCCCAAAAAAATATGTTTTATCATGATATTTCCCAGCACTATGCAAAGTTTCATGCTTTAGTCCGCCAAGTATCTATTTTCACCCTAAGCCACTGCACTAGAACTGATCATATTTATTTTAATATCTTGTAGTGTTTTCTTTACATGAATGTAAACACAATTACTGTCAAGCGGTTGACAGTTTGTGCGGAACTGGGGTTGATCTGGTTATATTCCTGTACTTCGAAAAGAAGCTGGCCGAGGTGATTATTTTATATATTGTGTAATGCTTCTTTAATTCGTCAGACTGTGCACACATGTACATTTAATAGCTGTTGGTTTCTTAGATTCTTTTTAAAATTAACGTCACTATTGAAGTAAATGGGAAATTAATTGTTGTTGTGTAACCCTGAATGGCGGGTTAATTACACTATATATTGCTCAGTGTTAGTGCTGACTGTATGAGGTGGTTTGTACATCATCGAGTATGTTCCCGACACTCCAGTGATTGCTACAATAACCTTCCTTTTGTTTTATTCAAGATTTTGGAAACCCAGATTAAACCTGTTTTACTCTTTATATGTTTTACTGAATATGTCGAATATTTTCATATCAAATTCTGTAAATACGTTTTAGGTGTTGGATATTATGTTTCTAATACTACTGCGATAGGTAAATGTGGTATATATGAATTATTTCATAATTATCACAAGAAATGTATTCAGATTTTCATAAAAATGCTATCTATGCCCAATGTTTGATATCCAATTGGATAAAATGGTAATCACATGTTAAGCAATTACTGTTTTTTGTGTTGAAACATCGTTTTTATTGTCATTGTAATGACATTGAAATTGTACCAAAAATGATAATTTACAAAAGGACATTTCACAAACGATTTATGTAAAGGAATATGTCCGATTTGTTTATATTCATATAAAGTAGATAGGTTAAATACTTAATGTAAGAATCATACAAAATATGCCAATCTTCATTTTAGGATACATGTACGTTCACCTCGACTCTGTCAATACATGTCTTAAACTTCTGTTTCCTTACTGTAGACAATAAACACTCTTCCACCGTACTGTTGTTTCACGTTTTAATGCAAGAATGTTTACGGAATTTGTGCATTTACAGGTTGGATATTGTGCACGTTGTGTTGGAATGATTTAGGTTGGCATTTGAAAACTTTGAACACTGTTACATTGTAACAGGCGTGGTATCTCCATTGGAAGGGAGGCCGTGAGTTGGCGCACACACCACTTTGTTCAATGATTTACGTAGCCGTTGGGACGGTGGGGTAGCCCAGTGGTTAAAGCGTTCGCTCGTCATGCCGAAGACCCGGGTTCGATTCCCCACATGGGTACAATGTGTGAAGCCCATTTCTGGTGTCCCCCGCCGCGATATTGCTGGAATATTGCTAAAAACGGCGTAAAACCATACTCACTCACTCAGTTAGTGGCTTAGTTCGTTTTAACCGTAGTTTACTCTAATCTTTCATCCCTGACACCACCACTCGACATCATCTTGACACTGACGTTTAAATTTTGATTGCGATTAAAAGCGGTTGTCAGGTTGTTTAAAGCAAACAAACAGCTGAAACCAAGTGTTAAATATTTTTATTTTTATTCTATTCATCATTTTATTATTAATATAATAGGTGCAGGTATCTGAGCAGAGCTGCATCCTTGGCAATGTCGAGATAAGCGGATAACGTATTCGAGTGTAAGGTTGGTTGGTTGGTAATATTCCAGATATATGGAGGTGGTCTGTAAATAATCGAATCTGGACCAGACAATCCAGTTATCAACAGCATGAACATCGATCAATTGGGATACGATGGCATGTGTCAACCAAGTCAAGTGAGCCTGACCACCCAATCCCGTAAGTTGCATATTACGACAAGCATGGGTTGGAGAAGACCAATTCTAATCCGGATCTTCACTGGTCTCAAGTATAAGGCCAATTGCGCAGATCGATACTCATGCTGTTGATCACTGGATTGTCTGGTCCAGACTCGATTATTTACAGACCGCCGCCATATAGCTGGAATATTGCTGAGTGCGGCTTAAAACTCAACTCACTCACTCACTCAAGTATAAGGTGTAAATACATCTCTCCAGCATGGACATGGCTCGGATAGGCTACAGATTGCACACCGTGTTACCCAATAATAAAATTTACTTTCAAATGGTACCCGAAGCTCAATGCATACGTTACATAATGCACGTGCTACAGGTGCAGAGCTTTATTGCCTCAGCTAACGGGTCCAACACAATAATATATCGATAATATGACCATGGAATTATTATTTCACGTTTATTACATTAGGAAGTGTGATTCCCCAAGAATTTAGGATTGATCAATAGTTTTTATGTGTCTTTATCATGAGACATTGTAAAAACAGCCTAACCATAGGCGGATCCAGATGGGGTGCAGGGTGCGCACCCTACCTTTTGTCCTGAAAGTTTATTAAATGACCATTGAAACTCGGGTGAAAATGAAGTGTGCATCCCTCCTCTTCTCAATAGTGTGCACCCCACCCCCACCCCCACCCCCAACCCCACCCCTTCTCAAAAGCTGTATCCGCCCCTGCTAACATATATAACAGTGCGGGTATGTTGCTTTTAACATCTTTGTTAATATAATTGTACTCAACAGTTAATACACTGTGAATTCAGTATGGAGAAGACCCATGAAGATCCGGGTTATAATCGATCTTCGGTAACCCCCAGGTGAACCGCTTATACATCAAATACTTTAAACATTTATTCTTATTCACAAAATGGAACTTAAAATATATGATTACAACTGCAGCATGTACCCTTTCCTTTGAAGTGTAATATTCTACCTGTACACTCACCCATGCTTGTAGTAAGAGGCGACAAACGGGATCGGGTGGCCAGGCAGGCTGACTTGGTTGACACATGTCATCGTATCCCCATTGGATAGATCGATGCTCATGCTGTTGATCACTGGCTTGTGAGGTCCCAAGTCAACTATTTACAGACCGCCGCCATATAGCTGGAATATTGCTGAGTGCAGCGTAAAACTCACTCACTCACGTACTCAGTACGGTGAATGAAACCAGATAATATACAGAACCATGGCGTATGGCGTAAACCTGTTGTCTCTTAACAATGTCTCTCAAACGAAAGTAAGAATTAAAAACATTTTTGATCAAACATTCTGTTTGATTCAATATTATCACATGTTTATATGGAAATATGGTATGAATGTACCAGGTAGAATATTACACTTCAAAGGAACAGGTACATGCGTACAGCCCATTATGATTTGCTGATACACATTCATACACGCATAGGTCTGAGATAAACATGTTTGATATTCTCGTCATTTCCAGACAAAGACATAAGTGTGAATGCATGGTATCGCTGACTTTTACTGAAAACAGTAGTTTCCTGGAAAGTCCCCATTGTATGCAAATCGTGTGCAACGTTTTTATGTCTTATCAATAATCAGGACATTACTATATTACATTAGGCCGAGGCAAGCTCACTCATGAAGCAATGTCTATTTAAGGCACAACGCTATCACTCGTGAAATGGCCTACATAATCCGGGGGATCCCCACACGTGAGGGGTAAGTTTCTGCCATGCTATACTTTACTCGCCCATTGCAGGGCGTCTGAAGAGCACAGCTAGTTTGTGTCGGCTTGGTGTTGCGTTACAACAAAAATGTGAGTTTATTTTAAGAATTCTTTACAACTGCAATGTCTGACGTATATCACGATGATGTGCATGTGTGTGTGTTATCAATACGAGGTATCAATATGAAATATGCGCGGTGCCGCGATACATATGCGGTTGGAAACGCGTGTAGCGACCAGAACTGGGGTACGACCAGAACCATTCTATATTGTAACCGCAAAGTGATGTAGACACGGAATTCATTTCAGATTGCCCCTTTCAAAAAAGCATTGTTTGGCATTATGCTTGCATTTTAAAATAACACATTTAAATAAAATGAAACACCAAATAAATAACGAGCACAAGTATAATTAAAAACTCTTACGATGTTTACAAATTATAGTGGATAATTAAATGTGGGTTAATATTGGCTAAGGAATGTGGAAATATGTAAGCGATAATTTTCAGTGTTTCCCCACAAAAACATGAACTAAATCATATTCCGCGCATCAATCGCCTTATGTTTTATAGATAACCCGGATCAGTATCGCAGTAAATAGAGTTTTTTCGAAATTGTGGACTGTATATCCCAAGCATGGTCAGTGAAGAGGAAGCATGCTACCAGCTGGGTGAGGTGTAGGGGGGATGTTGGCTGGGGCGGAGCTGGATGAGGAGTTTGGCTTGTTATACTAGAAGCCATATATCCTGCTTGTGCTTAAACACATCTGCTTGTGTGATAATACTTTCTGTTATGAGTAGAATGATATAAATGCATTCCTTCACAAAACAGTACCAGGACGACACAGTTCATTTATTGCAACATAGGTGACATGAAAGTACTCAACACCTAAAGTAAAACCTTGTTAACACAAACTCCAATATTTCGATACATCGTTTTAAACGATGTTACTTTAGACGTCCCTGCAATACCACCTCGGCTCTGTGGATTCTCGATAACCCCTTTATATCCGGTTATCGATTCTAAGAATCGCTGCAGTGTTTAGCTGCAATGAAGCACTCGCTCATTATTCATTAATTATATTTTTTCAGATTTTTTAACCATTTTTAAATGAAGATTACAAGTAAGCCAATATATATTTTAATTTCTTATGATCCAGTGGTGATTGCCTTTGTTCTTCAGACAAAAAAACAACACACTAATTAGCGATGTGCTTTTACATCTTCATTTTCTTAAATGGTCAGGCAATATGGAATGTAAAGAAAACAATTGTATGCATCTAAGATGTTGAAAAGAGTTACTTATGTTTTATTGGTTTGATTTTGGGAAATAATTCACCATATTGGGAAAACTGTTCATTGCAGATAAAATCGGTCACAAGACGTTGCTCCACGGTGATCTCAGCAGTGGAAGAAACTGCTAAATATCATGTCAAGAATAAAATTATATATTAATCCAAATAGGACTGGTGTCAAATTCGTGGAAAAGGGTTTGGAATGTCCGCGTTATATTTCCCCCGTTGAGTCATTGTTAGCTTCATTCAAATGACATGGGGTTATATTTGATATACAATATTGGCATGTTCATGAGTTGTATCTTAAACGAGCTCAACGTTATTTTGGTCTTTGTTTCTGTTAAATCATTGCACACCAATTACTTCAAAATAGTTATTGTATACATGTATTTTATCAGCGGATCTTACTGTGTAACGAAATACGTCTATTTCTCTGTTAGAGGGAACAAAGAATGTTTTAAACGTGTTGATGCATGCGACTGTTACTCAACATGCTTCCTCCGTCTTTGTTGTACATGGTTTAAGAATCCTATTCGGGTATCAACACGTTTACGGCAGGAAGACGGTTGTCATGGTTCTGTTTCCATGTGACAGCGCATACATTGTGTTTAATTGGTTCAGATTGTATTTCAAACGTGTTTGGGTTTATTTAAACCGACTTGTCTCTCAGTCTTTAGTTTGCAATGAGGATTAGTTGTTGTTTTAAAGTATGTCTCAATATTTGCATTGCCTTAATCAAACTGATGTTTTAAATGTTTCGGAATTTCTCTTCTTTAGTCAACATCTATCGACTCAAAACGAAATGCTATGCATTGCATGGGATCACCACTGAATCCAGTATATATAATAGTTCGCTGTAAATTCATGCGGAACGTCGTGGGTTCGATCCCCGGCTTCGTCATACCAAAAGACGTTAAAATATGGTACTTGTCGATCCCTGTCTAGCGCTCGGCATTAATGGTTACAACAAGGATTGGTCGGCCCTGAGTCAGTAGAATGTGTCTGAGTGGGGTATTCATGCTTGACTACTGCGGCATGGTATCTCAGTGGGCTAGCACTATAAAACCAGCTTAAGGCCTGTACTGTAGTACCCGTGAAGATCCGGTTTAGTTGATCTTGAGAAACCCATGTTTGCCGTAAGAGCTGACTAACGGGATCTAATGTCCAGTCTCGCTGACCCGGTTGAGAAGGATGAATGCTCATGATGCATCACTACATTGACTGGTCCAGATTCAATTATTTACAGACATTCCGTCATGTAGCAGGAATACAACAACAAACAAATAATTCACCAACCAAATACACAATCAAAACACCAATATATCATAATTTGTTTGGGTATCATAGTATTATACAATGATATTAGTTATGGGTGTGTGATGTGACAACTCAAATCAGTTGCCAGACAACGAAGAGTAAATGCCCTTTGTAAGCGCACGTTTATAATCAAACATCAAACATATATATATTATTGTATACATATTCAATTATGTTCAACAAAGTAAATATTTTACCGCTGCCCAGGCAGAATGATAGAATTACCTGATTTCTGAAGAACAATACAATGTGCAAAGCTGAAGGTTCATTGAAGCGCCGTAAAATCTACACTCTTTCGATTGCCAGAGGTTCTTTGTTTTGGTTTTGGGTTTGACTTTGGGATTTTGCTGTTTTGTTGTTTTGTTGAATATCATATATAGAATGTACAAGTTGGAATCACTAGATGGCTAAAATGTTATCCTATTTCTGTTGTCCCCCAACGCGATTTTACTGTAATAAAGTTTAAACGATACCAACGTGGTGGCACAAATCAGACTTCAGTCCTGCCCCACAACGAAGCACATGTGATACATGTGGTCTCACCTTAGGCAAGCGAGTTTGTTCAAAATTGCCTCTCTACACCCAACAGAAATTGGGTACCTCGTCGGATAAAGCCTGTGACTATAACCTTCTACCTTGGGTTATCCGGGGTAATAATAATCAGATTCTGATTAAGCGGCGCGAGCAATCACTTGGTGTTTCGAGACTGCGCTATAGAAGATGACTACTATATTAAGCTGTCCTCCAGTAAATACACTAACATTACATTTTCTTTTCCAGGTATTTCCAGACCCGTATCCTCGACTCTACAGCGGCAGTATTTCTACTGATGGCACTCTTCATCCTTGGTCTCCAGGTGACACAGCCCCCTTCCTGCAGGTGTCCGCGGGGATTCACATACGCCCAGTGCAACTATACAAACATGGTCTGCTTGACGCAGGCATTCTTCGTCAACCAAGAAGCTATTGTTCCCAACTCTGAGCGACCCGGTGCTGAGCCATTGGATGACGTTACCGCGCACCATGACGTTGTACAAGCTGACGTCAAAGCGTTGAAGAGAGAGATATCAAATAACGATGGTTCCATTTCAGAGATGTCCAAATCAAAATCTCAAGAATTCAAACATTCCTCGATTACCAAGCAACACAAGCTTCACGTGGAAGTCGTAACAAGCGGTAAAGGACTTTATTCGAATTCCGTAAATGAATACGATATTTTGAGATCAAAGCTGATTTTATATAACGCTTACGCTGTCATTTTGATAGCTGTTGCGATACTGTTATCGGTACCTAAACTTGTATGGGTATGTACATCGGTTGAGAAGGACATTCTGTGTATGATGAATACTTTCACGTACGCCGGAGCAGATTCCACAACGGTGTCACGACAAAGATGCGTGGATCAGTTGGTTGGAGACATGAAATTCTTCCTAAGATCTTGCCATGGCAGTTTTTACAAGAACATTCTTTTAATGCACGTTTTGAGACCTCTAATTCCATTCCTAATTCCGGTGACCTTGACCTTCATACCAGGGGTCAGTGCCAAAGAAGCCTTCACCTTGAACCCCATGACGTTAATGTCAGCCCTGCATAACCAAAGCATGACTGTGTTTCCGTCAAATGCCTTCTGTCAGTTTCAAGTCATTAGCAGGTCCACGCCTAAGTGGGTATCAACAACTTGTCTTCTCCCCGCAAGCGAATTGCTTCAGATTCTGACGCCAGTTCTTATTGTTTGGTTGGTTCTTCTGTCAATATTTGGGTTGTACAAATACTACTCGTTTATGAAGGTCATGTCCTTCGCCAATCAGAAGTCGTTTTATGGAAGGCATGGTCTGAAAATGGATAAGGAAGATGCAACATCGTTACAGAACGTGTTCGGTAATGACGGTTTCTTACTGTTCACGCTAGTCTCGGAAGTGGATAAAGGCAACATTTTGCCCCACATAATGTACGAGCTGAAAGCATGCATGGATAGTCGAATAGACAGGTAACAAATCTGTCTTCATTATCGTCATAATCCTCCAGTAAATGTCTTCCTTGGCAGGGCAAACACTGTGGACCATTGACTTTGGGAAGGGGTGTTCGGCAAGGATGCATTTTTGCTCACGTTTATTTTTTGTCGAAACCCAGCATTCATTAAGGTGTGGAAGAGTAAGAACTGTAAAATGTAACGTGACAATCACTATATTGTTCTATTGGTCTGTGTTGGTCATTAAGGCAACTAGTCTGCCATACAGACAATGAAACAATTATACCAAATGCAGCCCGAGTCTAGAATATGTGGCAAGTCTAGATTACCCCAGTTTCCGGAAAATGAAGAAAATATCTGGGCTCCTTTTTATGTACATAATTTGGGAACTAGGAAATATTTTATTCTATTTTGCTATGGTGCTTGTGTATTTTCAATTTCATTTTGTGTTTGATATTTTCACATATGTAACATAACTTTGAACATACGTTAACACTGACGTGCGCAAATAACATTTTAAGTGATGCTCTGATATACTTCATATTACTACAAAGAGATAATTCCTGTTCACCACAGAGCGTACGTGTTACATGCAGCGTAACAATCCTTTGTTGGAGATGAATATCCGTTAACATTGTGTGATGTTAATATCCCGATAGTCTCTAACACTCAGTCTGCAACTTGCGGAAATAGTGTGGGGGCGGAGAAAGTGTGAGGTGGGATAGCCAAATATGGTAAAACATTCGCGCGTCACGCCGAAGTATAGGTTCTGTTTCGAACAATGGTGGGTGAAATGTGGATAGGATGGTGTTGAAAGCGGCGTAAAACACAACTCACTGTTCTTCTCCGCTGTAAGATAACAGGTCATTGCATATCATAACAATTCATATCATTCATATCATACCAAAAAACAATTGTGAAGCTTATCCCACCTCCCCATCCCTCCTCAAGAATGGAAGTTAACGGTATTACATAACGTTATTCCCTCCTTGTCAACTTCAGCGATGCATAGTTTTCTTGATAATTTTATGATTTGTCTTTCATATCCTAAATGATGTTTATAATATAATTTGAGTGTTTTCCGGTTAAGACCGTTATTGACATTCAATTTATGATCGGTGATTTATACTTCTTATATATATATATATATATATGTATGATAATTGATAATAATTGATAATATTTTGTATATTTTATATACATGTGTGCATTGGCCGAAATAAAGTCTATTTTTTCATGAGAGGGCTTTTCACGTTTATATTTGGTATTCTAGTTGCAAGAACTTTTATGGCATCAATAGAAAAGGTTGCCAATCTGGAAGTGTGGATTTCAGTTGCTGTAGCAGGGTGATTACAGTAACATGGTGCTGTAGCGCTAGTTTGTTTGTTTGTTTGTTTGTAACGCCACATACAACAATATTCCGTTGCCCTGTAAATAGCCGAGTCTTGACCAAACAAACTGGTGATTGATATTATGAGCATCGTCCAGCGTCGTCGAGGCATGATGGCACGCCAAATCTTTAAGCATGGCCGGCCCATTAACGGAGAATACTCTTACAATTAGCATATGTTATGTGCCTGATATAACACAGGGGTGTTGTAGGAGTAGCAGTAGCAGTAGCAGCATGAATAACGCTCCCTACAGTTGTTCAGTGACATCACAACGTGTGACTGACGCAAAACTGGGGGAAAGGTTACCACCATTCGTAGTTGTTGTGGTAGTAGTAGCAGCAGCAGTTGTAACAGCGGTTTGGTCTTTGTGGTAGTAGTCGTAGTGTAGTAGTAATAATGGTAGTAGTAGTAGTTTTAGTGATGGTGGTGGTGGTAGTGGTGTGGCAGTGGTAGTAGCAGTAGTAGTACCACCACCATCATCATAGTGATGGTGATGATGATGGTGGTGGTGGTATTAGTAGTAGTAGTAATTGTAGTAGTAGTAGTAGTAGTAGTAGTAGTAGTAGTAGTAGTGGCGGCGGCAGCAGCAATAGAAGTAGTAGTAGTAGTAGTAGTGATAGTATGATGGCGGCGGGGCAGTAGTAGTAGTAGTAGTAGTAGTAGTAGTAGTAGCAGTAGTAGTAGTAGTGGTAGTAAAGTACTGTCGGAAATTGAAAAAAACCTGTTTTTGCTGTTACTCTGTATCCCTAAAATGTACACAATTGCAAATAGCATATGTCGAAGTAACCCACATCGGCCTAACTGGGCGTTCAGTGGATGCGTAATAGGATATCCACAAAAGCATGTTTACTCGTACTATCGGGCAAACCTATAAAATACGAATAGCTGCTTAAAACAATAGATCAGACTATAGATGAGAATTTGGTCGCTCGGCCAGGTATGATAACGGACCGTCGACACACCGATCATGGAATGCACGTGCTGCCTACATTTTATGTGTGTTGAATATGTCTCAAATATTGATTAACATCTAACGTGTCTTTTTTCATAAAGTTTATGTTGAGATATGTAAAACAGCATGATACCCATAGAAAGGCTTAAATCAGCCATCGTATTAAATGTCTAAAATTATATAGGTAGCATGGCCACCCGAAGATCGACAGGACTGGATATTATTTGTAAATTGTTACTTCCCCAGTTTAATTCCCCTAAAGGATTATCTTATCCTAGCTGATATCTCTATCCCCCAACCCGACCCCAACCATCGTCTGCGACACCCGACCTGGTTTTGCTTTTGAGACGACCCCCCATGTCTGTTTGTTTTTATAGTGGTAGTATAGTGAGACTCCATGGAAGCTACATCTTTAGTTTCACAAGTAAAAATATTACTTTGTACGTCAGCGCACACTAATTTGCATCAAGCCAAGTTCTGTTCCAAATAAGTCGATTTGGACTTAGAAAAAAACCACATTGCTCATTTCTGCACTAATCTCTCCTCCTATCTCCCTACCACCGAACTTAGTTTAACAGATATTTCACACTTTCACAGATTAACTACATAAATTGTGGATCTGAATGCGAAAAAATCGGTTGTTTTTTTCTATTTCCGACGGTAGGCTACTTTAGTAGTAGTAGTAGTAGTAGTAGTAGTAGTAGTAGTAGTAGTAAGAATCGTGTACAGCGTCGTTAATATCTATAATGGGTTGAAGATATTCCGTACACTATTTTATAATGTTGATTTTGACACCCTTTTATGTTGGACTTGGCCAAGTGAACCTCCGAACAGTGAGCTCAACACAGTGTTCCCACAAAGAAGGGTGAGAAGAGTTACCTCCCTCTTATAGTTGACCTGACAGTCTGAGACCACGCACGCCGCTGTGTCGACCGTGGTTCTATGATGATTAGCAGCTTACTGTTACTACAGCATACTTCATATCAATACTACTTACTGTTACTACAGCATACTTCATATCAATACTACTTTCTGTTACTACAGCATACTTCATATCAATACTACTTTCTGTTACTACACCATACTTCATATCAATACTACTTTCTGTTACTACAGCATACTTCATATCAATACTACTTACTGTTACTACAGCATACTTCATATCAATACTACTTACTGTTACTACAGCATACTTCATATCAATACTACTTACTGTTACTACAGCATACTTCATATCAATACTACTTACTGTTACTACAGCATACTTCATATCAATACTACTTACTGTTACTACAGCATACTTCATATCAATACTACTTACTGTTACTACAGCATACTTCATATCAATACTACTTACTGTTACTACAGCATACTTCATATCAATACTACTTACTGTTACTACAGCATACTTCATATCAATACTACTTACTGTTACTACAGCATACTTCATATCAATACTACTTACTGTTACTACAGCATACTTCATATCAATACTACTTACTACAGCATACTACAGCATACTTCATACATCAATACTACTTACTGTTACTACAGCATACTTCATATTTATACTGCTTTCTGTTACTACAGCATACTTCATATTTATACTGCTTTCTATTACAGTACTAATACCATGCTTGAACACATCATACTTCATACCTATGAAACACATTATTAGTACAGCATCTGTTATATAACTACATATTCATCACTACATATTCATATCTATACCGTACTTGATTACGCCCTCCCTCTATCTATACCATACTTGATAACGCCCTCCCTCTATCTATACCGCACTTGATAACGCCCTCCCTCTATCTATACCGTACTGGATTACGCCCTCCCTCTATCTATACCGAACTTGATTACGCCCTCCCTCTATCTATACCGTACGATTACGCCCTCCCTGATTACGTACCTACAGCATACTCTATCTATACCGTACATGAATACAGCATGTTTCATTACGCCCTCCTTGGATACTACATACCTATACCGTACTTGAATACATTGTACTGCATACTTCATATCTATACCGTACATGAATACAGCATGTTTCATATCTATACCGTACTTGGATACAGCACACTACATATCTATACCGTACTTGAATACAGCATGCTTCATATCTATACCACACATTATTACTACAGCATCTGTTATATAACTACATATTCATCACTACATATTCATATCTATACCGTACTTGATTACGCCCTCCCTCTATCTATACCGTACGTGAATACAGCATACTCCATGTCTATACCGTACTTGAATACAGCATACTTCATATCTATACCGTACATGAATACAGCACACTTCATGTCTATACCGTACATGAATACAGCACACTACATATATATACTGTACTTGAATACAGCATGTTTCATATCTATACCGTACTGGAATACAGTTTACTTCATATCTATACCGTACATGAATGCAACATGTTTCATATCTGTACCGTACTTGAATACAGTTTACCTCATATCTATACCGTACTTGGATACAGCACACTACATATCCATACCGTACTTGAATACAGCTTACTTCATAATAATATACTCCCCATCAAAAGTTTAGACTCACTAGTGTAAATGTAGCCACTTACTTCAGTCAACTGTTCTGAACTAGATTTTGTAAAATAATCCATACAGTTTAAAGGTACTGTTTATACATGAGCTGATGTATTGTAAAACAAATTCGTGACGTTGAAAAGTTTATTGTCATGTGTTCAATAAATGATGAAACTCGGTGAAAAATGGCGATTCTTTATCAAAACTTTACACCAAAACGCAGCTGTTCACATGCACGATATTTGCACATGCTTTTCAGCAATTTGATGCATGATCCTCGTGCATTAAATCTGCATAAGGTTTGCAGATGTTTCCCGCAAGTAAGTGAAGAAATTCATCCTCGTTGTAACCATATGTACATACATAACTTATAGTGATTGATTTAAGCGAGTCTAAACTTTTGATGGGTAATATATATACCGTACTTGAATACGGCATGCTTCATATCTATACCGTACTTGAATACAGCACAGTTCATATCTATACCGTACTTGAATACAGTATACTTCATATCTATACCGTACATGAATACAGCACAGTTCATACCTATGCTGTACTTGGATACAGCACACTACATATCTATACCGTACTTGAATACGGCATGTTTTTATATCTATACCGTACTTGAATACAGCATGTTTCATATCTATACCGTACTTGAATACAGCACAGTTCATACCTATGCTGTACTTGGATACAGCACACTACATATCTATACCGTACTTGAATACGGCATGTTTCATATCTATTCCGTACTTGAATACAGCATGTTTCATATCTATACCGTACTTGAATACGGCATGTTTCATATGTATACCGTACTTGAATACAGCATGCTTAATATCTATACCGTACTTGAATACAGCACAGTTCATACCTATGCTGTACTCGAATACAGCAGACTACATATCTGTAGCACATTGTTTTACTTATACATGCATGTATAACACTCAGAAATAGAATTTACAAACGTTAAGCATGAAGGTTACGGCTCATCGTTTGTTATAGTTCACTATTCCAACAATACAGACTATGAATTAGTACTATTACGTGAAATGAACAACTGAATAAAAGCAGTGTGTATGAATCATTATCGCATAGTGATGACACCAGGTGTTCGCGCAACGTGACGGTAAAACCCGTCACACAAAATCAGGGCTATTAATGAAAAACTGGATTGGGTTTCAACCCTGCTGTAATTATAGACACTGTGTAATTGTACTTGGTAATATCCCAACGTACTGAGAAATCCCCAAGGTGACCATGTGAGAGGAGTACGACCAGGAGCACGGCGTTCGTGCTGTATCTTTTTCGCAAACCCGTGAACACCAGGTCCCGGAACGGCTAGATCGATGCTTATGCTATTGATCACTGAATTGTCCGGTCCAGCCTCGATTATTTACAGACAGCCACCATATAGCTGGAATATTGCTGAGTGCGGCGTAAAAAAACAAAACAAACCCAAACCACACAGGAACGGCTACTTGATGAACCTGTAATGCTCTATGAATTCTCTCTCTCTCTCTCTCTCTCTCTCTCTCTCTCTCTCTCTCTCTCTCTCTCTCTCTCTCTCTCTCTCTATATATATATATATATATATATATATAGGGGCGGTGGGTTAGTCTAGTGGTTAAAGCGTTGGCTCGTCACGCCAAAGACCCGGGTTCGAATCCCCACATGGGTACAATGAGTGAAGCCCATTTCTGGTGTCCCCCGCCGGGATATTGCTGGAATATTGCTAAAAGCGGCGTAAAACCAAACTCAGTCAGTCAGTGTCTCTCTCTTTCTCACTCTCTCTCTATATATATGTGCACATGTGCATCAATATTCCATGTCGTCCTTTTGTTACCTATGTCGTGTGGATTTTAGTGCATTTTTACAAACTTACGTCCATGGAATTTACATCGATTTACTCTTACTTCAAGATAATCGGTTTATACAATGGATATATTCTATCTGTGAGGTACCTGAAGCGTATATATCTATATATATATATATATGTGTGTGTGTGTGTGTGTGTGTGTGTGTGTGTGTGTGTGTGTATGTGTGTGTGTGTATGTAAGTATGTATGTATATATAAGTACTCAATTCTTTCAACTGCTATAGTCATTCTGTGTACGTATATAGCATAACAGATAATGGTTCACTCTAGTAATATGAGAGAGTGGGTATGCTTTTATGACGTTTTAGCAATAATGAACCAATATCAGAAAAAGGCTTCACACGTTGTATCCATGTGGTGAATGCACGCCGTGTATACTAGACTAAGCAACAGCTCCGACCCTCTGTGATATGAAGATCCGGGCTTGAATTGATCTTCAGCAACCCATGCTTGTCGTAAGAGGCGACTAACGGGATCGGGTAGACTAACAACTAGTCTCTGAAATGAACATATTTTACTGAAAAAAGTTCATAGTTAAAAAATTAAAATATAATGAAAAGGAGCCCTGAGACTTTCTTCATTTTCAGAAGCTCCCTGAAGCTGAGGAAGTCTGGACTTGCCACATTTTCTAGACTTGCGTTGGCTTTCTTGAATATATTTGCTTCAGGGTCTGTACGACAGGCTAGGGATCGGGTGGATGACTTACATGTCATCGTATTCAAATTGCTTAGATTGATGGTCATGCTGTTGATCACTGGATTGTCTGGTCCAGAATCAATTATTAGCAGGCCGCCATAAAGCTGCATGGAATACTACTTAGTGCGGCGTTAAACAACAAACCAACAAACCAACTACTACTACTACTACCATCACCACCATCAACAACACCGCTATTACAACTGCTGCTGCCACTACTACCACAACAACTGCGAGTAGTGGTATACATTCTCGCCAGTCACACGTTGTTGTTTTGGTTTTTCTTGTTGTTTGTTTGTTTTGTTTTGTTCGGAACGTGCACTTGATCTCAACACCACTCGGTCTTTCCTCGATTAATCTTGGGCATAAATTGGTACCATTTGGTGTCTTGGGAATATTTTGTAAAGATTCAAAAGGCTGACAACCGGTTTCCACGCCAAAACGAGAAATTTCACTGGCTGAAATTTGCGCAATAAGCGCAACAATATGGGCTCTGTCAGATGCGGTGATTCAAGAGAAATGACACATCCACATGTAGCAGACGACAAGCCTCGCGCGCCCAAGTGACGTCACAGAAACGCCAGACGACATTTCTTCCCGATTATGGTAAACACTTGACAGAGCACAAAGTTGGATACCAAAGTCACAGAAGGCCGCCAATGTAAGTACATACTTGAAAGTAGTCCTTATCTCAATAGATTTATTAACAAACAGTTATTAAATAGTGTCACGTTAACTCGTATAACTCAGCTGTTCCTTGTCCCTAGATGGAGAATGGCCACATAGGGCAAATGACTGTTGACCTACATCTGAGCATCTCGACTCCATGCGAGGACAAACTTGTAAACATACTATACATTCTCAACTCTGCTAGACCCTTACAATCCTGGCAGTTGGAACTTGTTGGTCGCATTTATGCTTTAAAATATTCTGCAAGTGGTTGATTTGGAATAGTCTAATTTCGATTTTTCATGTCTCCAATAGATAATGGCTATTCCTCTTTGTTTACTGACTTACAGATTCATCTGCTGAGATGGAACGGACTTATGTAAAGCATGAAAACTGAACGAAATGCTTTTTGTCAATGAGTATAACGGATATAGTTCATGTTGGACTTCATTCAAATGATGCAAAGTCTTTCTTCCAATTGATATCTTTATAAAGCTTGCCTCATAAGGCCAGACTACATAACTACACAGGAATTAAGGCTTTATGATTTTGAACATTGAAATACGTTAGCTTTGTCAATACATTATGTTTATATGGTTTCTCATTTTGGTATATTTGACCCGTGAAGGTCCGGGTTAGAATATTGATCTTCAGTAACCCATGCTTGTAGTAAGAGGCGACAAACGGGATCGGGTGGTCAGACTCGCTGACCTGGTTGACATATGTCATCGGTTCCCAATTGCACAGATCGATGCTCATGCTGTTGATCACTGGAGTCTCTGGTCCAGATTCGATTATTTACAGACCGGCGCCATATAGCTGGAATATTGCTGAGTGCGACCTAAAACTAAACTCACTCACGCACTCATTACGTATATTTACAATATCCTAAAGAATTAGGGGTGTGTTAGGTTCTAAGTATGGTGTTTGTTTGTTTGTTGTTTAACGCGAGTCGACAATCAAGTGATTGACATCAGTATCCACTTTGGATACGATGACTTTCATCAACCAAGCAATTGAGCCAGAACACCGACCCTGCTAGGTACCACTTAAAATAACTATCGGTTTCTGATGATCATTTCTAACACGGGTTTTCGAGGTAGCAGTTGCCTATGGATTGTCGTTCCCAATAACACGTGTACACAAACACTAACTCACTCATACACTCACGAACACTACTCACTCACGCTCTCATACAGACACTCCTTCACTGAGTATCGTTCTATGCAAAGTCTCGCCATCTCGCCATGAAGAAAACTACATGTGTTCAATTATTTACTGTGTAATTCGAGGTCTAAAATAGAGGAATTAATATCTACATATTTTCGAAAAAATATTTCACCAACTTTCCAGCTCCTTATCCATGCGAGAGAAATATTATATTAAACGAACACAATTAACTGTTTACATCATAACTAAAAATATTCAATGCCGCCAGAACCGTAGTCTCCCTCAAAGACAAATAACACTACAAAACAGAAACCAGTAGTTCTCAGAATCTTTTGTTCACCCCCATTTGGTCGAACTGTACCTTCCCACGCTTCAGGTTCCGCAACGTCCCCTTCCTCCCCTACCTACACGACGTCCCAGGGAAGGAACCTTACACCATGTGTTAGATTAGAATCCCTCTCCCCCCTTCCGGAATGCCAAGGGGCTCCAGACAAGCATAAACATCCTATACCATCCACTTGCCCCGCTCCCCCTCCCTATTTCTGTAGGATACCAGGGTAATTACTTTCAATTGCGCATGTTTTCTCATTTCAATCAGGTCATAGAAAAACACATCTATCATAGTAAGAGACCAACATCTACTCCGTTAAATTAACACAGTTTGCGACTATATCGTTGCTAAAGCATCCAAATATAATTATAATACAAAGGCGCCAAGACTTTCTTCATTTTCAAACCCTGAAACTTCAGAGACTTTACAAATATCACCAAGACAGTTGTCTTTGGATTTTGTGTTGAGTTTTAAGAGACTGACAAACGGTTTCCACGTCAATGAGAAATTTCATTGACTGAGATTTGCCAAATTGACTTTTACTGCATATATTTGATTCATCGTCTGTATGACGGTAACCATGTACATTGTACATCAACCACTCTGTTGTATACAGTTTTATGTAAATATCACGTAAAGCACCATGTATACAATACCTTTTTCTGAATAACAGCGTCAAAATCATTTCAATATTCATATGACATCTCTACAAAACGACTAATGCTTAGTCTCTGAATATATATAATTTTGATAGTAACATATAAACCCATTTAAATTGAGAAGGAGCCCCAGTGAGTTGGGAGATTCTGAACCTGGGGAATCTAGACTTGCTTCAATAAGAGCTTTACCACTGCAGGGACGGCTAGGCAGTAGGGAAAATAATGTGTTCAAGGACTCTGAGGCAGACTGTTTTGTCAAGATCAAAGTCTATTGTACATGACAATGTCATGAGCATGCGCTCATGAATCAGCTTAAGCTTCAAATAAATTGAATAAGTGAGTGAGTGAGTTAAGATTTTAAGTCACATCGGCAATATTTCAGCCATATCATGACTAAATCAAGTTATAAATATATTAACAATTAAAGGTAAATTATAAAATTCTGTCAACGAAGGACAGTAAAACAACTAGATTATCACAGGTATAAATATAAAACTAGTTATTAAATCTAAAATATTTTAACTATACATGACAATACAATATAAAGACAGGCTATAGATTGCCAACGACTGAAGGTAGATCACCATACTAGGGACCATTGGGACTTACAGTACATTTGCTTCCTGCATGGACCCTAGCTGGATTTACACCATCCCCTCAGCCGTTAGCAATTTAGACACATCTAGCCATAAATTTAAAAAGACACATATACTACGATTAAAAATAGTGGAAAGTTTGAATTTACTTTGAATGTTTGTGGACTTACGTACCCTCTCAGGAGAACAATAATTTTACAGTACTTTATCCCCCTTTGAAGATACAGCCACTAACAATCTGAGTTACTGATGATACCGGGTGTTAGTGAAAATATGACCCCGCGGATCATGTACTCGTCACAAACAACACATGTCCGCAAAAGTTAAACCATTTGAAGAATTTGACCTTTAAACGCATTCGCTGGAAAATTGGAACACTGTGATCCAAAGTACAACCTACGCTGGTTATTTGCGTTGAGATATGGTGAGTTTGAATTACCATAATGGACATGATTGATACTGTACCCATCTTTGACCTTTAGGTGGATTTCATAGGTCACTGTCATTAACAGTGTGATCCAGCATCAACAGTAAACTTGCTCCCCTAAATGTAGTCTCTCTCACAGTCAAGGCTACTGCCTAGCCCTCCTAGTCTGTCTCACAGTCCCTGAACCACATTAATTTCCCTACTGCCAAGCCCTCTCTGCAGTGCTAAAGCCCTAAATAAAGCAAGTCTAGATTTCCTCTGGGCTCCTTTTCAATATAAATGGGCTTGTTTGTTACTATCAAAATTATATATATTCAGAGACTAAGCCTTAGTCTATAGCCCTCCCTGCAATGTTTAAGTCTAAATGAAGCAAGTCTAGATATCCCCAGGGAATCTCCCATCCCACTAGGGCTCCTTTTCAATGTAAATGGGAATAACGCAAAATTCAAGTTATAAGTTAAGGGTGGTCCAGCCAAGGTCAAAGCATGGTAAGGCAAGATTGAAATTAAGAGTTCTTTTGGGTTTATCATAAATAATTTTACTTTGCAGATTGATATTCCAAATAAAAGAATTACATATTTTTTACTAAATCTCTGTCTATGCAAGGACCGAACAATCGTGGATGTATTTACACGTGTATTCTTTAGGAATATCATATAGTGAAATTAGTTGACATTAAAATTTCAGTGCAAAAACCCTTTTGGCGTCACGGGCAAAAATTATATGAATGGACCATTAAAATCAGTGATGACACAAGGTGTTCAAAAGGACACTTTATTCTCTTCACGGTCTTGTATGTGGTGCCCTTTTATAATGATAATAAATCTTAAAGAGGCAAGTCTAGATAAACGGACAGTACAAGTCTAAGGACGCCAGTCTGTTTGAGGGATATTTATATTTTTAATCATATGAACTATAAATTATTACCTTATATACTTGTGCAAGTATGGAAGGGCTGCTTGAATAAGTGAGACAATTATAAGACTTCAACGCCAGAAAATAACAATTTTCGATTATCCGCCGAAACAGACCCTTTCTTGGCGTTAAAGCTAAAATTATGAAAGTAAAAGGTAAACGTCTATGAGTGGCTCACTGACAATCAATAATCACACCCGGTGTTTGTCAACAATGGTTATGCCCTACCGGTAGCACCCATCACCCAAACACGTCACATGACATGCACTACGGAGCCCCGTCAACAAACCAGGTAATTAATCAAGCGGAGGGCCAGACAATCCCAGTGAAATGATTTTGTTGACATCAAAAACTACATTTATTTGTTTATGCAAACCGTCTGAGTGGCGGGTGCTACCGGTAAAGCAGAATAATGCCCAACGTTTTGGCTAATTCCTGGTGTTATTATAATGTTCAGGGATATATTCATATATACTCATGCCAATAATGGTTGTCACCCCCTACCCATCCCAACCCCCCACACACACACACACCACACCCTCTCAATTTACAAAATTTGAAGGGGTGACAGCCATTATTGGCATGAGTATATTAGTTTTTCCAATACCTTTCCTTTTTACGACCAAAGAGATAATCCAAACTGAATATTCTTTTTGTGCTTGTGTTATATTTATGAACATGTGTGAAGCCCATTTCTGTCCTCCCCTCCCCGGCCGTGATATTGCTGGAATATTTTGATAAAATCGGCGTAAAACTAAACTCACTCATTCACTTATATCAATAAAACCCACATAACGACCACACAAAGTGTTTGCGGGAATAGTAAACGTCTCCCGTCCTGGTGTCACCCGTCACAAACATGATACTAGTTTCAATATACATGTATACTACCCA